TCTGTCTTTGGCAGAATATACAATACGTTCAAGAAACGAACAGAATGGCATATACTTTAATCTAGGGCCATGGCTAAAAAACAGAGCCTGCCAAGGGGTTCAGAGCAAGTGCTCTCAAGGTCCTCATGTAAGTTTCACAGGGTACTGTAAAATGCTTGGTGTGGTCGGTGGGGAGATATATTATTATTTTAAGACTCAAGCTTATGCTTTTAAAATGACAATATTAACTGTAATCACAAATAATTATATTAAAGAAAGGGCTCCATGCTTCTGTAAAATATGGGGAGGGAGAAAGGGGTTATGTGGAGGGAAGTTGGTTCGGTGCCACCTCTTCCCTGTATCCCCATCTTTAAATTCTGTTAGCACTACAGTAGTTGTTGATGAAAAGATGATACAAGCTAGATGGAGACAAACACGAGTCATAGGCAATCTGGGATCGATGCAAATAACCATAGCCAATCTAGCAGGTTAAAGAACAATTTGAAAGGATGTTTTCACATAGAAACAATCACAATATCGTACCAGCAATTGTGACTCTTTTTTTAGTAGTATCAATATTTATTTTGAGTCTAAAGTTGAGATAGGTAATATTAGCTCACCTTTGACATAATACCTTATTAAAGCAGGTGTAAGGATAGGCTTCATTGGAGGGTATGTTATCAGTAGCAAGCATAACAGCTGTGATTGAGGCTCGCAGTAAGATGAGCTCGCTTGAAGCAATCTCCATCTAATGTACGGATTGCTTGACGTCAGGAAACATGCATGGAGCCACAGAATTCCATTTGTTTTTGATGTATTCCTAATCCTTTAGCATTTAGCATATGAGATGTTAAAGGGTTACTATTAGTTGAAATATATAATTTATATTCTACTCCTGCAGCGTTAATTATATAATCATTACTCATGCTATATTTCTAAAGGTTAGAATTTCCCTGATAAAAGAGAATAAACTTAAAGATTTATACCTGTTAAGCTAAAAATAACTTGCAAAATATAAATTCATATTTAATTTTCTTGTTTTGCATATTTAAGTTAAGTTGATATATTCCGGTATATTTTATTCAATCATCATAGCATAATAAAATGAATTAAGATGATTAATTACAAATTGCTTTCATTAATTACAGATTGCTTTCATTTAAAAATGAGAATAATAAGAAAATGGTATTTTTTTGCCAATTAATAGAATAACTAACAATGTTCCTATGTTAATTGACTAATAAGAGTCAACTCTTAAATTGGTTTGTAACTATGATTTTTATACTATTAAAAAGTCTGCAAACGTTTGACAGGCTGTAGTGTTTTGATCTGTCACTATAAGTACACCATTTTCGCTAAATTTGAAATGAAAATTTCCAAAAACCTTGCAACTACCAGGAAAGATAGTAGAAAGAAGATTTGTTTGGAAAAATAAAATTTTGCTCAGGCTATAGGCTGTTTGATGTCCCCCAGTGAAAAGCTGTGAGATGTTGGTGGCGCTGTTTGAAAATAGACCTGATAACATGGTGTATAGAGGTTATTTGATCAATTTATATGAGCCATTTTATGATTTTTTTAACAATTCACCACAGATGTTTTTATCTTTCATATTCTTAGACGATAAATTTTTACACTGTAGTAGGACTTAATTATTTGGTGATACTGTACTGATTTATAACTAAATAAACTCTATTGTCTTCACAATGAGGCGATATAAAATCTAGTTGCTTCATATGTATTTAGATCGAGAACATATAGATACAAATCTAATAAAATTCGAAAAATATTTCTCTTTTTGGCTAATAGCAGCAGCCTATGTGGAAAAAAAATACTTTATAGTATCACATGCCATAAATTTTTACAGAGAAACAGAGTAAACTACATAATAATGTTAATGTACTAAGCTTCATTATGCATTTATTATAATTTTGTATAGCACAGGTGGGCAAAATATGGTCTACAGGCCACATGCGGCCCACCAGCAGTAGGCCTATGCGCCGCCTGCCTATCATCTTTGCCTAAAAAACCCCTTTTTTATGGCCTGACACCGATCATCTGTAAAAAGTATTTTAAAATTGAGCAAAAGAAGTATACAGGTAAAAGCAGTGCTAAGCTTTTTTTGGCACTCCCAACTTATTTTGTGCCCACCCTTGCTGTATAGAAAGCATCTTGAGACTATATGCGTGATTGGTTGGGCTTGTCTTGGCCACATATTGTGATGTGGTGCCTAGCATGCCTGCTGCCCTCTAATTTTCATTTCAAATTTTATGGAAAACTTTGTGATTGCTAAACAAATGTATGCTGCCCTCTATAGTTAGCAAAAAGTTTTGGCTGTATTTTGATTGGCTGAATCAGTCTGGATTATCCCATTATTATTGGTGGTCTAGTGGCAGTAATTTTTCTTAAAATTACAGAAGTAATAGATAAATTAAATGCATTTAGTTCTTAAAAAAATATGTTCTGTAATTTCAGTCGTAATTGTTGTTAATTGTTTAATCGCAAGTTAAAATTTATTATATTGTAAGTAGGTACGGAAATAATTGAGAAACATTTAGCAGTGTTCTCTAATAAAAACATTTTTACTGGTAAATTTGTCCGCAAAAATTTCAGCTATTCATGCATGTGTGAGGCACTATCCCTTTTGATTGGGGTTTACTGACTTGAAAAAAAACATCACATACAGTGATGACTTATATGCATAAACTCAAGATTCAAGATTTCAAGATTCAAGATTTATTTTTTTATTTCACAAACACAATTTTTACTGGTTGGCAGGTTGCGTTTACTGGTAAAATTTTTTAATGGTAAATTTGATGGCTAAAACGGCTTCGGGAGAACACTGATTTAGGGTGAAATGTTCTTTGATTTAGTAAGAAAAAGTAAACAGAAAATAATAAGCACACTCTAGGATGATTGAAATTTTGTACAGTTGTGATTGCCATAAATTCCATTTCACAGAATGACACGTTGAAATTATGCAAATTTGACTCTACGTCACTCATATAATATCACTTTTATTATTTGATATTTCTGAATGTAAACATGAAATCCGTGGAGAAGTATTGATTCCATACGTTTCCTACCTCATGAGATTTCTATGAAAATAACATTTGCATGTCTATAAATCATTATTTCATGTCCATTTCAACAGCAATAATTTGCAATTTATGATAAAAAAAATCCCTGGGAAAAGTAGTAATTACACTTTTCTTTTACTGGTAAATGTCAGTTTGCAAGGTGCTTATTAAGTAATGACAGATTTATTTTAATCCTTTTGTTTGGATTCTGTTCCCAGCCTTGTAAAAACATTTTGGTTGGTACATTTTTGTCATGTATGTAGTTTATATTCATTTTATATTGTTGAATAAATTAATTTCTATAAATAGAATACTTATTACATGAAACTAATATGAAGTAATTATTACCTGATGATGTGTCTTTGAAAATGTTTTTTTTTTAAATTGTGGAATAAATACATATCTGCTATTATTATAATGAAATATTTTTGGAGGCCTTGTAATTTTTTTTATACTGTAACATACATGTTAAGTAAAGAGCTTAACAGATTACCAACATTTTTTTTACAAATATTCACAACCTTCATTGTAGATGTTCACCGCATAATTAAAAGCTTATGAATATTTCTAATAGTTTGTTAGCCTGTAAAGTGCGGTCTTGAAAGCCGGGCACCTACTGCGCATGACGGTCGTCGGCCGACGCAATTCTATAAAGAACGTAACGCGACGATGCGTGCGCAACAGATCGTTTTTAATGACGATCAATTCAGACTGCCACCGACAATCAGCAGACGGTGTCGCATTGTCTAGCGCTCACAGAGAGCGGAGTTGGATTAGTTGTGCGACAGTCGTACAACGTAGTAAGTGCCGAGCTTAGAATATGTGACTGGCTCTGGCAACACCAGCCGTTTGTAGGAAAAATTCAAATTTGAGGTTTTTGGTATTTTTAGATTCTGTGAGAATTCTTTAAAACAGTGTTTATTTGATGGAAACTTTTTGAGTATTAGCAAAGGTATGAATATTTAATTCATTGAATATCCGCTGTGTAGGTTTTGAGAAAACAGCTTCCAAAGACTTCAAAATCAATTATTAAGATCTTAATATACTTTTCTGTTAGATTTAGTGATTGATATTTTTTAGAAATTTTCTTCAATATAAAATACAAAAACTTGAAAATGTTCAAAATTATGATTCTCAAGCGTTTTGGTTGTTTATGTACAATTAAAAAATGCAACAAATGGAAGGTTTTTTTGCCACAGCCTGTCACATATTTATTCATCACTATCTGTCAACTGCCGATGACTGAACTTTGTTCAATTCACATCATGGCCAGTTTTTAAAATTTCATTTGACTGCAGCAAGTTTTTCCATGCATAGGCACTGAATATATTATCAATATGGGGAATCATATACGTTGTTTTTTTATATATTTTATACAAATTTGACAAGCAAATCATTTTCCCTTTGTGGATCAATAAAGTTGTCATATAGACTTTATATGCTGTCGTCCAGCGTCCTTGTTTTGTGTGGTGGCGTGTAAAATGCATTTCCTCACAGATGCATTTTCTGTTAGAGAAAACATATCCCCCAGGATTTTGGTGTATCCTTACACGGCGAACAATGAGCGTTTCATTATTAATGTGAAATAGTCGTTATAGGTTTGAAATTATATTCCATTATCATGGGAATATCATGTTACATATAAGAATGACAGGTTGATAATCCTTAATACATCATCCAGGTCATTATTTTGTAATATAAGCCCGGATATTCTAGACAAAATGTTTACTAGCAATCAAATTCGAGTTGGATCATACCAGTAGTATTGCTATGCAGTGCTGTCATATTGTTGCTTCATTAGCATATGGTTTCCTAGGTACAAGCATGGCTCTGAGAGCCATGTTGATGATTAAATTCAGCCACTTGCAAGAGAACACTATCAATCTATGCATGGTATACAGTAATAGATTGTTGATGTGATCATTACTGTATCTCCTGAGAGAGAAACGATTGAGTAATCAATGCATGCTGTATGACACTCTTGCATGGTACCTAGTTACTCGTTGTCATTACAGCTTATCAAAATGGATTATTCTATGTTTATAAGGAAACAGATTAGACGGAATATGGCTTAGTATGATACCTATAATACCTTTGCTTGCGATCGACGGTACTGCATATATCATCTTGGTTCCTTTTCTATAACACATCCTAATACATCATTTCAAATTGGTTCAAGTGTATCCGTTACTAGACACATGTTCGCAGTGATTTATTTTAATCATTAAGTCCCTGTGTTAACTTCGAGAGGCACGGGGCTAGATGCAGCATTTGAAACCTGTCTTCAGCCTACCTACACCGGCTTATAATAGAATATTTCTCGGGGCTAAACTATGGTGTGCAGAATGCATCAACTTCATTGGACATAGCCATACCAACATGCATAATCTAGCAACTAACAGACAACACGATTGGTGATCAGTGTAACTATATTTTGTGCGAACACGGTCATCCTAAGTAAAATTGGTGACGGGATTTGAGCCCGTTTTGGAACTGCTCATTGTACTGTTAATAGTCTGCTGTGGAATCTCAAAGGTCATGGGATAATGCAGGGTATATTCTTTGTGCCGATACATTCAAGTGTGGGTGTATAACGGATTCCGAGGATTCCGAGTTTCGTGCTTTACAAAGGCGACAAGATGTTTCTTTTCCGCTGGTGTTGTCAGTGGAAGAAGGGTACGTGCTTATTCATTTATGTAAAATTTACTACAAATTTATCCAATTGAATTTTTCCATAGTATATCCCAGTTTAATATTTAAATTTCATTTTAGTGTTTAATTGTTCATGATTCAAATCATTGTCAAGTGAGATAAGTATACTCTCTCTCTCTCTTAACACCTAAAAACTCCTCAGTCAAACATATGTGTATCCTTTCTTTATTCTAGAATATACTTTCAATAGAGATAAGATAACATAACTTTTATTGTCCAACATTTATTTACATTATAAATTTGTTTTTTATTTGACAATATAAAGCACCTAAAATTCACATAAAAACACAGTGCGATATAAAAGACACTTAAAATTTACATCAATTTTAAATTTGATAATAAAATTAGTAAAAAGACCATTACTCAATGTGAATGTAGTCATTTTTAGTGTGGTTCAGTTAAAAGTAAAAGTGACAATATAAAATCAATAAAAGTAACTAATTTAAGTTTCAATGAAAATAATATCAGAATCAAACTTATTTGTCCTCACGGAAATTACATTGGTTGTTAAAAAGCTCTAACATCAATACATACAATAAAATAAAGTTGTGATATACTTACATATAATACAGAAATACTATTACCTACTTATTATAACATAATAAATTACAGAGCATACGTTCTATGTTAATGGTAATATACTTAATCGTGTAGTATGTGGATAGAATACTGTATACAAACTGTATTAATCATGTGTTTAAATGGCCAGAAATATATTACAATTTGCAATTGAAAATTATTAACTTGCGTATAAATTGATTAACTGAACACAGATTGTATAACTTTACATAGGGAACATATATTTCTTTTTACTTGCACTTTTACTGGCAGTAATATAGGCATAATAACCCCAGATTTAGGTATTCTCTATTTAAAGAGACACTACCAAATTTTGAAATAATTTCATAAGATATACATGGCATTAAACTCTTACAGAATGTAAACAATTATACTAATAGGAAAAAGATTAAGTAGCATTACCATTTTAAAATTGATACAGTTTGCGGTCATTAAAGAAATCAAGTATTAAACACTATTTTGTTAAAACTTATTACTGTTAATATATGCAATGCATAAAACTTTCAAGCATCGTTCTTTACCAGAGGATGATGACCAAAATTACCATTAAAAGCAGTGGCGTATTCAGGATTTTGAAAAGGGGGTGCTGAATATACTTATTATATCCACTGAACTTTACACAGGGTGCAAACCTAGGGACGGGACATATCGATGGCCATATGATTACACCATTAGTTGTTATCGTCTAAACTAATTTACTTTTGCTATTTATCTCCATGAATTTACTATTATTTTTGTTCATGTTTGAACAAAAAGGGAGGTGCTTAGGCGTCGTAAAAATACCTGGTTACGCCACTAAAAAGTTATAGCTTCATGAACTTTACTATTATTTTATTGTCACCAATTCAGTTACTTACTTGGTTTTATATGTATGTGTGTGTATACAAGAAAGCAAGTCAATGGTTGCAAAAATCGATTTTTAATTATTAATACAGGGTTAAACAATAGAATGAGAGCTATAAAATGGTCAAAGAATCATTTAAATCCGACATTTCCTTATAAAGTTACAAGTGTTAAACATACAGCTGTTTAAAGAATAGTATTTGAGAAATCAGCCTTCAAAGTTTATGATTTCGGCATTTCTCAGGCAGAAACCATCACCACATTGTTAAAAACTTGATTTTTAATATTGAAAAGGGGGATAGTAACTGTATAGCCTGATGTATATATATCTAGTGCAATAAAATAGATTTCAAAAAGTTCGACATTCAAGCATATTTTGGTCATTATCTCTGAAACACCATTTGCGACAAGTGACTAGTTTGGCTTGTCTTTGCCACATATATATTATATAATCACACATTTTTGTTCACTTAGTTCAACTTTCTACAATCTTGTAGAGAGGAAAACTTTGATTTATGTTTTTCCCTAGTAAAACTAGGTACTGTCATTATTATTAATATCAAATAGATAGCAAATTTGTCAGCTTTAACAGCCTTCCTGTCTGAAAATGTGGATTCATCTATTATATACACTAACAGTTACTTCGACTGTGCCTGACTTTTTGAACTAGCTATCTACCTTAGGGCATGTAATTTGCCAAAGTTCAGGGGTTGGAAGATTCCACAGGAAAGCTTTTGTACAATAGTGATATAATGAATATAGACACAGTCGTGTCGTCACAACACCAGGTTGCGCCCTCTGTCGCCAACCAGATGTTGGTTACCGTTCATTACGCCTGAATGACTTCATAGGTTTTCTGGAATAGGCATTTTAAAATCTAATATTTTACCATCAAAATGTACTAAAAACACAAAAGCTCGCATTATATTAGTTATCGAACACACATTTAATCATCAATTAAAATTTACAAAGAAAAACTAAAATACAACATCTTAATAATAGTTACATTAGAAATTTCATTTTAGAAATTAACTTGCTCATTTTGATGCAACATAAAACTTAATAATCAAAAATGTTAACCCATAATGTTTCAGTGAATAAATACTTCAAGTCATTAGAAGTGTTTTATTATTTTTATTATCGTTAACCAGTAAAAAATTAAGGGTACTCATTTTTAAAATTCAATAATTTCTATGGTCAAGGTAATAATTTGTATGTCACTGCTAAATCAAGTTAATTTAAAAAATTTTTAAATTTTTTTTTTAAATTTTCAGGGGACTGTTTATACATCTTTAATCCCGTTCATAAATTCTTTCTTTTGCTTAAGAGACAGATTCAAAAATATGTTCTTTCACGCTGTGCTTTTTGTTTCACGACCCTTTCTCCTGGTGTCACCGATGTTTCTCTGTTCATGTGTATAGGGATATTCTATTTGTACATAGGGGATTCTTTTATGGAAATTAGAAAGAATATTGTAGTTGAACAGTATAGCTTTGTAGTGGAATTCAATCTGCACTTAAAACAAAACAATATAATAATAAAATAAAATATTCATCAAATTACTATGTTGGTGTGAGTGTGTATGTAACTTTAGATAGTACAACATTTCAAAATGAATAAATGAATAATAAATTAAGTCTTATATAGGCCTAGTATTAATGTTTTTTACTTTGTATTGTAATTAATACTCGTACCTTATTTATAGGAATTGTCCTAGTGACGACCTTAGAATTGAACAGCAAGTAACCACCTATCTACAAGTCCACAATTTCCTAATATTATTTTTCTCTTGTGTCCTAGAAAGGATTGTATTAATTGTGGGTGGTTGAGAATTAAGTAAGTTTAAGCCTAAGCACAGAATATGAACTCTATATGATATATAGATTTGGAAAAAAACCCGAAAAAAAAACTGGGGATTGCATAACAATAGCATCCATTGATATGCCCTGCTCTAAAGTTTGATTGAATCGAAAATATATTATAAAAACATTAATGGACATCAGCAAAGTAGAGTACCGTATTTGAATTTAACAAGTTAATATATTCATAATTCAGGAAAATCGTACTTGCTATATGCATTGACAACAATTATTTTCATTAAAAAATCTAATTTGATCAGATAAAATTGGTAATGAAATAAAAAAAAAATTAATTACATTTTAATAAATACAGTGTGTAATTAAAAAAAAAACAACTAAAAGCACTGATTCAATACTTTTAATTATTATACTTCTTATTTTAGTATTTCTATAGGTATACATTAAATATAATATACTTTAATTTTAAAATCCCATTAATAAAAAAAAAATCATATAGTAATAAAATAGGACAACTGTTATTTAGATAAATATATATTTGTAATTTTTTAATCATTTGTAACTTGCACTAATGTTGTTATTGAATTGTTATAGGATAAGTAGTTAAATAATTAATTCCTAAATTCTATACATAAAAAAACAAACCCAATATATTCTATTCTGTCTATAGCAGGCCTAAGTGTTACACTTTCACAAGTACCAATTATTTATAAGTTGAGAAGATGTAATCAAAGCATTGATCGTTTATACCTGGAATCAGGCTAACTCATTCTCGTAAACTCCAAGAAGTAGCCTTAATAGCATATTAAATAATAATCATCTGGTAAACGTGGCCAGATTTCACTTTGGAAATCAATCACAAAATAAATAATTGGCGTTCTCAGTCCCAGTTGCTCCGTAAAACATAACTGGATCTCGAGTGTGAAGGATGTAAACTGCTTTAGTATTCAACAGCCTTTTACATACAGACACCTCGACACTGCTTATAAAAATAATCATCCAACGTGCTAAAAAATATTTGCATTTATTCCTGTTCTTACTCAGTGTAATTTCTACCTGGCTATCTTAAAGGTGAGCTCAACTCTTTGGAAGATTACAGTGAACTTCACTCGGAAAATTGATTGTTTTCATCATATAGCTACTCTCAGCATGGGCCCTAGACAATTGTTTGTTGAGATCAGCAGATAAACTGCTGCACTCGCTATTCACATGGGGAACTGGTGTATAATGACATATTCAAGGTAGCTACAGAGTTAGCTTCAATTACGCAAGCTTGACAAACGAAACAGATCAACACAACACACTCTGTCAGCTAGTCTATATGAATCTATACCTTATGCCTGCTTTTGACAGATTTTTGTCTTGGAAGGTGATTTGAGGAGAAAAAAAAAACGTTATGGGAATTAAACTTTCAATACATAAGGGTAAGGTAAATTTGTTTTTGTTTATTTTTATGGATTCGTAATAATTTTCTGAGTCATGTACTGTTTTATTTGATTTCCGGCGATGTGGTTGAACGATGGATTTGTGATAGATATTTACTCAGAATGGTTGTGTTTAAGCTCTCTTGTTTTGGAAGGATGTAATAGACCATGGTAATCATCATTGTAATTATGAGATATACTTGTTTATTAATTGTCTGAAAATTATAATTAGCATCAGGTGTGTTATTGTATCCAGAGGCTAATTAGTAACCAATGGTATCACTAATGGTTTTGTTAAACA